GCTTGTAGTTAGTTCAAGGACTGTTTGTTGGCCTTTAGGAGTGTTTTCCAGTCCAGTCTGTTGGGGCACTAAGCCCTGGCCCCAAAGTACACCTTCAGCATTCCCTGGGGACCTTGCCGCCTCATTCCCTTGCTGTTCTGTTGTAACCCCTTAGTGTTTTGCTTTGGTGTGGCGGGATCAGATCAGGTGCAATTCCCACACTGTGTCTCCAGTGTTGTCCCCTGTAGGGCTATGGGTCAGTGAGGGGTGTCATGTCTCATAGTGGGACCAGCCATGTGGTCCTCTCTGTGGACTGGCTGTTCTAATCTGGAACATCGTCTTCAAGGCCTGGTGGGCCAGGATATGCTCCACTCTCTCCTCCTCCCCCTTCACCTGCTCCCGTGTGCTCCAATCACATATGTCCCTCTCCCGGAGCTGCGGATTCAGTGTCATCCTTTGAAATAAATTATTCTGTACACAGTTATAAAACAATGCGCACACTTCACTTGGCATCTCCAGCACCTTCAGCTCTCTGTGCCTTGTCTGTGTTGGTGTCTCCATTTTCTGCAGGGTTGTTCCGGTCCTTGCCAGCCTTGGTTTTCCCCTAGTCCCTCGGGCACCTTCTCTCCCTTTTTTGCAGGGACCTTCTTAGGCATAGCCTCTGGTTTTGAAGAGACAGGGCTAGCAGATAACCTTGCTGATCTCCTCTGAGGTTCATCCCTTACCTTGGCTTTATCTTCCTTAGCACCCCCTGCAGCCTTTCAGTTGGGCATGGTGGTGGTGCCAGCAGGGTGCAGGCTCTGCTTCTAGGGATGTGAACAAAGTGAAGGCTTTGGTCGATTTGGGGTAGGGTTGGGGGTTCATTCTGGCCTCTTGTTCACACTGCTCCTAAGATACGTTTCTTAATATCTGCAACCAAGTTTAGCAGAGGTTGAAGTTCAACTCTTTTGTTCCCAGAGTATACCTCTGTCACATGTAACAGGTTTGCAGTTATTAAAATGAGCAACATTGCTGGAGAGTGCTAGTCATCACTGTGGCATTACAGAAATGCTGCAGTCTTCTGGGATGATTCATTTCTCCCTAGTCCAGGGAGCCTTGACCAAAATGAAGGCCAAAGAGGGTGTTTTTGTTGTATTTGAAATTTCTCTGAGCACTGTTCACTGTCTCTTCGTTTATTAGTTTCAACTGCACACTGTGTGAGCACCTGCGGTCATAATCTGGTAGAGAAGACAGGCATAAAGTTACCAAGTGATTACTGATGTAGCAAAAGGATGCTTGGAAGCAGCCATAAGGCAGAAGTTTTCCATTGTGCTTTGAGGTGTCAGGAGAGTTTCTCAAAGACTTCATCTGAGTCTTGGAGAATAAGTTGTTTTCTATGTGGATATAGTTGGGGACAGGCATGCCTGGTATTTAAAAGCACATGAGGGTGCACCTGGTTCATTCTGGCTGGCATTTCAGGTGTAAAATTGGGAACAGGAAATGTTTGAGTGTAGAAACTGAGTTCTGCGAAATGCTAGGGATCTTGACAGCCTACTTTTGCAGGTTAAGGATTTGGGACTTTCGGTAGAAAGGAGCCCCTGACTCAGCATACAAAGTTAAAGGGGAAACTGCATATGTTGAGAGGAAGAGACAGACGAGGAGGAAGGATGAAGATAGAGGAGAGACAGGGAATAATTGATGCAGATAGTTCCCACGGAGACGATGAGCATGGAGAGCAACGCTAAAGCACAGTAGAGCTTTCCTTGCCGGAGAGGGAGGGTCTTTTCTCTGAGACGAGGCAAGAAAGGATGGCTGCAGATGGCATGCAGATGCCATTGGGAAACTCATGTGTTCTCCACTAACATTTCATTTCCTATGCAAAATAGACCGGGCTATTTTATGAGTAGAAATTGGATTGTAGATGTTACGATGGGTGGTGAACATTTGAAATAATAGATGAAGCCCCTTCCTACCAGCATTTAAAAAATGGTCAAATGACACTGTGGACCCACACAGTGATACGGTTGGTGGCATTGACCTTTGGCATTGACCTCACTTAACCAAGTTAGACTGCTTTTAGGTTAGAATCTGCAATTTTGGAAGAGGGATTGAGTTATATTGATTATGCACTGAGAGAGAAGTACTAGATGGGAATGGCATTCACACAGACTCGGCTGTTTCCAGCTGCAAAGGAGGAGGACCTGAAGGGAGACAAAATGTTTTTGCAATTTGACAACCCATTTTCCCCTGTCAGACAAAGGGATGAAACAGCTAAACGAATGCTTTCGGTTGACAACCAAACTCAGTGCTTTCTGATTTTACTCAGTCTCTTCTTTCCTTCCCACGAGGATAATCTTTCAACAAAAACCAAAACAAAGCAAAGATCCCTTCCTGTTTGGGTTCCTTTTACCCACAAGATAATTTGGCATATAAGATATTTTACAATTATATTACGATTGACCCTTTCAGTTTTATTTTCTACTGCTTCCACCTTGTCTTAAAAGGTCATGAGCTTTGTTGCACTCTTGCTGTTGTCAGTTGCTGTTGAGTTAATTCTGACGCATGGCAGCTCCGTGTGTACAGAGTGGAAACATTGCCCACAGGATTTTCTCCATGGTGACCTTTCAGAAACAGGTTGCCAGGCCTGCCTTCCCAGGCACCTCTGGTGGCAATTGGGCCATTCACCCTTTGTGACCCACTGGGCCTCTCCAAATTGGTACGAGTATGGCAATATAATGTACCTTTCTATAAATTTGTGCCTTAAGAGCCATATGCGACCAAAGTGGTATGGCTGCCTGTCTTTTGACTCAGGCCAAGAGATTGTTTGCTGTATGACTCACACATTGCCCTTGTTTTTTAAGAGGGAGATTAAGGTTCTAGAAGGGCTTCAACCATAGTCTGGTTCACCCACCTTTCAAAAATTCCATTTCAGTAAGGTGTCATTTTGCCGACCCTGACTGCAGTCGGTGAACTAGCGAGAAGGCTGTTTCAGGTATCAGAGAATGTAGTGGAGAGCAGGCAGTTAAGTTGAGAATTAGGGATGAGAATTAGGGCTTTTAAAGCATGGGGATACATTGTAGCTTTTTGGACACCAAAAAACCCTGCTGCCATGGGGTTGATTCTGATGCATAGTGACCTATGTAAGATTTCCTAGGCTGTGAATCTTTTTAGGGGCAGAAAGCCTCATCGTTCTCTGGAAGAGCAGCTGGTGAATTTGAACCACTGAGCTTGTGGTTAGCAGTCCAGTGCTTACCTGACAGCACCACCAGGGCTCTTTTATCAGGATATAGCAGATGCTTACTAAAGGAATCTATGAATTATAGAACAGTATGTTTTATTTTTTATTCTTAAGTTTGTATTCAATAGCTTTGGCTGTTTTGTTTTTATTTGAGAGATGGGACTGCTAACTAAGTCCTATAGTTAAACCAAGCTAAAACCAGCATGTATGGTGTTAAGTGCAGTACCATACATTAAGAAGAAAAGAAGAGAGGAGATCCTGTCCTGTGTGAGGTGCTGGATATAGATAGGCACTCTGCCCCATGGAGTTTACAAACTCATTTACTAATCTTTTGTGTAAGGCGTTTTTAGGTTCTCAACCTAAGCAGTTCTCAAAGTAGAAGAGTTTTACTGTTCAGAGTAGCATTACGTATTTATAATTTTTTCTTTGAATTTTATTTTAGGGGGTTTTGGATATTTTGCCATTTTCAATTCTTCTCTACAAACGAGAAACCTAGAGGATGAAGAGTTGTTACATGGCATCCTAGAGGTCGTAATGTACTGGAAGAACAACTATGAAGATGTCTTTCTCTTCAGTTGGTAGGTCATGCTGGATAGTTTTCCTTCTCATAAGCCCTCTTCTACATTGTGAACCAAATTGTGCATCTTAATGAACAATCTCGTAGAATCAATAGCATGGTAGACATTTAAGTCACTCATTTATAAGTATACAAAATAAAATAGGATACTTTTTAATTGATTGTCAGTATAACTCTTTAATGCTGATTTGATTTGTTTTGTCTTGTTTTCATGATAGTAATCTGTCAGAAGCAAATCCAGAGACACTGGGTATAAACATAGAAATGATCCGCTTTCTCTCCCTGTTCCTAAAATATTGGACGTCTCCTTTGGCAGATAATGAGTGGGATTTCATCATGTGTTCCATGCTGGCTTGGTTGGAAGTAAGTTAACCTGATGCGTCATCACTTTTGTCTCTCTTTGTGCAAATCTATGTATCAGGACGGTTTTGGTGATCTTATTCTTGAAGTGATGATTTAAAAAAAAAATCATTTTATTGGGGGCTCATACAACTCTTATCACAGTCCATTCATACATCAATTGTGTAAAGCACATTTGTACATTCATTGCCCTCATCAATCTCAAAACATTTGCTCTCCACTTAAGCCCCTGGCATCAGGTCCTCATTTTTACCCCTCTCTCCCCGCTCCCCTCTCCCTCATGAAACCTTGATAATTTATAAATTATTATTTTGTCGAAGTGATGATTCTTAGTAGATCCTTTGAAAATATTTACAATTCTTTTTTTTAATATTTACAATTCTTAACATATTCTCAGCTGATATTTTATAGCCATAGATGATCATTAAAATGATATGAGTTTAATAAGTATTAACATAATTGGTGACCAGATCTCCTGTTATTAAAATACTTTCATTGGCTTATTTGAATATAATATTTGTAATACAGAGCTCTAGATATTATCTTACTATTTCATGATAATTTTTCAAAACATTTTCATATGAAGTAGGAGGCAAAAGCTATTTATAAAGGTATAGTAGCTATAAGCTTGTATATATGTAAATATATTACTTTATAATGAAAGGGATAGAGACCAATGAACATATATTTATATGTTAAGTATTCAGATAGACTTTGGGCCTCTACTCAAGACCTCCCTAAACCTAAGAACACTTTAGTCTAATAACCTGGGACTCTTTGATACTCGCCTTCCCGACATGATCACTGAAGACAAAATTGGGTGCTTACACAAATGTGGTGAAGAAAGTGGATGGTGCCCAGCTATCAAAAGATATAGCGTCTGGGGTCTTAAAGGCTTGAAGTTAAACAAGTGGCCATCTAGCAGGGAAGCAAATAAGCCCACATGGAAGAAGCACACTAGCCTGTGTGATCATGAGGTGTTGATGGGATTAGGTATCAGGTATCAAAGAATCCAAAACAAATAACTATATCGATGTGAAAGAGGGGAAATGGAGTGGAGACCCAAAGCCAAGGAAGGGATGATTCATCCAGGGTGCAATATAAATCCGATTAGACCGGAGTACACACATTGGTACAGATAAGAGCTTTTGACACATGGAATTCAGGATAGATAAAACCCTCAGGAACAGTAGTGGGAGTAGTGATATAATGAGGCTAGGGGGACTGCGGGGGGCCTGTCGGGGAGAGGGAGAAAGGGGGCACAAGATTGGATATATAACCCACCCCCATGGAGATGAATAACAGAAATGTGGGTGAAGGGAGACAACGGATAGTGTAAGACATGAAATAACAACAATAATATATATTTGATCAAGGATACACCAGGGTGGAAAGATGGGGGAGGGAGGGAAGAAAAAGAGGAGCTGATACCAAGGGCTCAAGTAGAAAGGTAATGTTTTTGAAATGTTGAATGCAACGGATGTACAAGTGTGCTTAATATAATTGTGTGATGAATTGTTACAAGATTTGTAAGAGTTCCCAATTAAATGATTAATAATAATAAAAAAATTTTTGATCCTAATTGTTACTCTTACAATGTTATCGTCCAAGTAATATGAGGATAGGGGCCTTTCTTACACAAAGATATCAAGATGTGAAGCTCTTGTTACTTTACATATTCTACATCTAGTTCTGTACATTTCTGAAAGCAGTGTTTTTCTAACCATTCCCCAATGAATTCTGTACTCTTCAATTTATACCACTTCAAAATAGCTTTTGGCATCCATGAGGGACTTTTCAATGTTCTTGGAGTTTTAGGAACAAATAAAAGTGTGAAGGAGTAATATCTGGGCTGTAGGGTGAATGGGGTAAGATTTCTAACAGAATTCTTCCAGAACAACGCTTGCTACTCTTGCAGAATGAGCAGGTGCATTGTGATAATGGGGGAAAAAATTGCTCAGAGACGCTTTCTTGGCCTTTTTCTCACAGTGCAGTTTTCAGGTTTTTGAAAACTTCATAAGAAGTGTCCATAATCATCTTGTGTTGTTCAGGAAACTATCAGGATTAGCCCAATGGGATCCATCCCCTAACAGTTACCATAACCTTCTGAGCTGACTTCTCTGCCTTGAAATTAACTCCAGTGGACCCCTACCCCAAGCCCCCACTGAAAACACTGTTTTGTTTTTTTTAAATCTATTTACTGAGGCTCATACAATTCATCACAATACATAGATCAATTGTGTAAAGCACATCTATACATTTGTTGCCCTCATTATTCCCAAAATTTGCTTTCCTC